ACATATTTGTAACTTGGGAATTATTTAAGCAGCCTATCCTTCGTAGTAACAGCAGAAATGAAACCTAGAATGCAACAAGATCGGCTGTTCAGAGAGCGTTAACACAAAACCCACACGGGTTCTAATTCATATTCCTATTTTCGCCCTTCCTCCAAATCCCACTCTTAAATCTTCAAAAGCCTTTTTGCAAGCTTGGGAGACCAATAGGATCAGGCTATATGGCCCTGTAACTCCCATAGATCTAAAGCTCAACTGAGACAGCAACGGTTTTCTTCACTTCAGCTTCAGGATTCTGTTAGATGGATCTGAACACCAAAGATATTCCCCCTTTTTGGGATGCTATCAAAAGGGCAACTGTGAAAGTCATTAATCTGCTCTTCCACTACTTTCAGAGACAACGACTACAGAAGCAGCTCTGGCTTTTCTGCCTCCCCCGTTCAAATTCTCAGAAGCAACAGAAGCTTACAAAGAAGTGGCAAGCCACCGCGTAAGTTGCGACACAAACACAAGAAAGGAAAAATATCTCCTCCCGGAGAGATGGCACATGCTACTCATTGCTTCGTTGCCACTACCCTGCTGAGGAACGCTACTCAGCGTGCAATAAGGCAGAATTCCACCCCAACACATGGGTATGTGGTTTCGATAGCCAACAGACCATCTCGAAGCATCAAGGCTGATAACTATGGGCAAGGTTCCCAGCCAAGAGGACTCTAAGCAGCTGTCTTTTCAGAGCGTATAAATCTGCAGCCAAGAGAATCAGATATTATTTTACTTTTTCAGCAGGCTAAATGCTTTCCAACACTATAAAGACTAGGTAAGATCTGATGCCAGGCATAGAAAGACATCCTAGGCCTAAAGTGATATATGGAAACAGGACCCGTGAGCATTTTTATGATAGGCACACAATTACAGAGCTTGTAATGACAGTCTTCATCGTGAGTACAAATGAGGAAAGCATTGAGTTGCGGATGGCAGCAAATCAGCACACTTCTTGGTGCCTAGGAGAACACAAGAATTGCATTCACATTTCTATATATCACATGAACGAGCAGGCTTTTGAAGGCTGGTAGCCACAATGGACAGGCCAGGGCCTTCTTTCATTTCAAGACTTCCAATGAGGGTTTTTGGAAGCTTAACCGCTTTTAAGGCCACACCTGGAATACTGCATCCAGTTTTGGTCACCACATTACAAAAAAGATGTTGAGACTTTGGAAAAAGGTCAAAGAAGAGCAACTTAAGATGATTAAAGGTCTGGAGATTAAGATGTAAGAAGAACGGTTGCAGGATTTGGGTTAAGCTATTCTAGAGAAAAGGACTAGGGGTGTTCTGACCCAAACCTGGTTCCAAGAAAGCAAACACAGGACAAAGGCAGCAGTATAATCTGTTTAAGTTTCAGCTAAGAATCCTGTTTCTTCACAGATAAAAGGCTGCTTCCAACTAATTAGCTCCCACAAAAAAGAGCCTTGCCAGGTTTTTTCAAGTCTGACAAAAAACAACAGATAAGAAATAGTTTACAAGAGTCTTCAAATACCAACTGTAATGTCCATGAGGCTGAGTTCAAAACGTCTTTGCCTTCTGCAAAGAAGGTTAATTTCACAGCTGGCTTTTATCTTCTTGAAGGAGGGGCCATTACCTTGCAGCCTTACTCCCGAGTCCCCTGTGCTGTTGTAACTGTTCTTTCCTCCGAGCAATCCTGCGCGCATGCGCATTTGGCACAGGCTCCTCGGGAACCTCCTCATCACTGCTGCCAGCCCCCAAAATCTCTGAAGGCAGCAGTCTACTCCCTAATGGTCTTGGCCCCTCATCTGAGTCCTCGCTCTCCTCAGCCATCTGCACCTGCTGCCAGCTAACCACATCAAGGGGGGACAGATAGCAGTATTCCAGTATTTGAGAGGTTGCCACAAAGTGGAGGGGGTCAACTTATTTTCCAAAGCACCAGAGGTCCGGTCAAGACACAATGGATGGAAACTAATCAAGGAGAGAAGCAATCTGGAATTAAGGAGAAACTTCCTAACAGTGAACGGCTTTTCGTCAGAAGTTGTGGGTGCTTCATCACTGGAAGTTTTAAAGAAGAGAAAGAATGAGCATGGGTCTGAAATGGTATGGGGTCTCCTGCTTGAGCAGGGGATTGGACTAGAAGTCCTCCAAGGAAGGGGTCGCCAACCTTTTGGACCTCAGGGACCACCAAACTCATAATTTTAGATCCCAGGGACCACTAACTGGTTCTGTGGGCGTGGCATAATTTGTGTGTGTGGCTTGGTGGTCATGTGACTGGCTGGGCATGGCTTGTATGTAAATATTATAAATATTTATATAAATATTGAATTTTTTTATAAAAAAAGAACAACTTTTACCCAAATCAGGCAAAGCAGGCAGGCAGATTGAGTTGCTTACAGAAGCACAGGTTCACTCAGAGATCTATCTATCTGCCATCAGCTAGCTCAGTCTGTCACATAAAATTTCCTTACAAGCAAACTCATAAAATTTGCTAGCAAGCAAACTCACAAAATTAACTCACAACACACCATGTATGTAAATATTGATTTATTTATTTTATTAAAAAAAGCAACTTTTATCCGAAATCAGGCAAAGCAGGCAGGCAGATTGAGTTGCTCACAGAATCATTCAGTGATCTATCTATCTGCCATCAGCTAGCTCAGTCTCTCAAATTTGCTTGCCGTGAGTCTGCACTGAATGTGCTTGCAAGCAAAGCTTCAGTCCTAAGGGAGGTTTGGTTGTGCTTAGCTAGAAAGCAAGAATTCCAACCATTTCCTGATTCCTAGCTAATCTAAATCTCCCGGCACAGCAGAACAGATGATGGTCGGAAAAAGGAAAAATAGCAACTTAGCAGACAAGTTTGCCAGGTAAGGAGTGAGTGGGCGGGGAGAGTTCCCGCGGGCCATAGGGGCTGAGCAGCCTTGTGTTTTTGCGCAGCCTGGATTAATTGCTTTGGTGGGGTGCTCTGGGGGTGAGATTTCTCTGCGGCCCACCAAAATTTTCTCATGGCCCACCAGTGGGCCGTGGGCCACCGATTGGCGACCACTGCTCCAAGATCACTTCCAGCTCTGTTCTGATTAAGCTTTCTTGGTGGTTTTTTTTAATTATGTTTTCATGTGATTCCTGTCTCAGAATGGTTGAGAGCAATGATAGCCAGAGGATGATCTAGAGCAGGGGTGGGGAACGGTGGCCCTTTTATGACTTGTGGACTTCAACTTCCAGAATTCCTGAGTTAGTACGGCTGGCTCAGGAATTCTGGGAGTTGAGGTCCACAAGTCATAAAGGAGCCATCGTT